GAGGCTACCTCTGTAATTTTAGGAACATCTGAGAAAAAATGAAGTTGAAAGAAGTGAAGTTAGTGTCACAAGTAGCTATCTGGGAAAATGAGGATTCTTAATTATTAAGATGAAATAAACTTGAGGTTGGAACATGCTTATGGACAGAAAAGCAAAAATAGAAATGTTCATTTCAGGGGCCAGTAGATGGTGTGGCAGATTCATTGCTGGGCTCCCAAAAGGCTGACTACAGTTTGAGTCCTGGACCCGGTGGCTTCAAAATCACACCAGGCGTGTGTGCATGCACATGTACCCAAGATCCCAGGAGGAGAATGGAGGAGAGGGATTGAGGTATGACCATGCCCTCTGGGGGGTGATTTCTCACTTTCCCTCTCACTGTCTTTCTCTAGCAAGCATACACCCCTAAAGCAAAACCCTCTTAAAAAAAAAAAAAAACGAAAAAAAAGAAATGTTCATTTCAGCACTGGCTTTAATAAAAAAAACAAAGAATAAATAAAATTATAAAAATGGTTAAATTTTTTTTTTAGATTTGCACCAGAGGGCATGTGTGTTCACCGGGGAGAGAAAGAGAGAAGGGAAGTAAGAAATCACACGCTAGGGAGGATGACTACACTACAATTCCTTCTCCATTCTACTCTTGGGATTCTGGGCACACCCAGTATGATTTTTAAGCTGCTGGGTCTGGTATTCAAACTGCAGAGTCAGCCATGTGAGAATCAACCCACCGCCTGCTGGATGAAAAATGGTGAAGTATTTTATTTCAATATGGTGAAATACCATGCAGACTTTAACAAGAATTTTCCATATACAATGCAGTTATATTCTGTTAAAGATATAAATAGACTGAAATGAAGTTACTCGTAATAAGGGTCCATGTCACCAAACTGAAACCTAGGTTGTTTTGTTGTAAGAGTTGACCTGAGAAATCAATACAGATGATAGCCAAATCCCATTAAGCCAACAAAATTTTGTTTTCACCCTACAAGGAAAGCAACTGTCAAATAACCAATTCACATTTTGCTTCTTGTTTCAGCTTTTTTCAACCTTTTTTGCTAATATACAAAACCTACACCACCTTTCCTATTTTGTAGACTGGATACTGCTCAATTTGTTGAAAAATTTTTTGACAATCCTAACATGGAAAATGAAAATATTCTAAATGAAATTTTTAAAAAATTAAATGAATGAATAAATGAATAAAATTAAATTAAAAAAAGGGACCCAGCAGGTGGGATGGTGTTTAGGGCGCTGGACATTCCTACATGGCCGACCATGGTTCAAGTCCTGGACCTGGTGGCTTGCTTTCTCACTATCTCTGTCTCTCTGTGTCTCTCATCAAGTTAAAAAATATATAAAAAGAATGAATAAAATTTAAATAAATCAAAAAAAAAAAAAAGAAAATATTCTAAATGGAAAAGAAGTATGTCATGTGGGCTAGAATGAACCATGCTCGTGGGTGAGTCAGTAAGCCAAGCCAGGGCCATGGCCAGTACAATGGTAGCAGTGGGACTGACCACTGCTGCTGTTGGATTTGCAGGCTGGATTTGCAGGCTGTTAGGTTTTGCAATTCATGAAGCATAAGGAGCCTCAAGAAAAATAAGTTTTTTGAAGTCTACCGAAATCTGCCTTCAGTGGTGGCTATTACAGTGGTAGATTTAAACCCAAAATGACAAAACAGGAAGCAGCATTAAAATTAGGTGTAAGCCCTACTGCTAATAAAGGAAAAATAAGAGATGCTCATTGATGAATTATGCTTTTAAATCATCCAGACAAAGGAGGATCTCCTTATTTAGCAGCCAAACTCAATGAAGCTAAAGATCTACTAGAAAGTAAAGCTAAAAGATGAAGTATATTTATGATTTTAAGTTCATATTCGTTTATGTATATGAGTATCTGCTTTTAACAATAAAATGCATCAGAGCTGCAGTATTTTCTTTTTTCTTTGAGAGAGATTTTTGGTATAGGGCATGTGTGCTTGCCAGAGACACAGAGAGAGCCAGAGAGACAGAAAGTGAGAAATCACCCCCAGGTGGGGATGGCCACACTGCAATCCCTTCTCCATTCTCCTCTTGGGATCTTGGGCATGCATGCACGCACATGCATACAGCATAAATTTTAAGTCATTGGGTCTGGGACTTGAACCATGGTCAACTACATGGGAGTTCAGCAACATAACCATTAAGCCATCTGCTGGTCCCCCAGAGAAGCAATGTTTAAAAAAATTTAACACAACCTAAGTCAGTCTTGTAAGTCTGATTAAATTTGAAAATTTTAAAATCAACTACCAATTAGTTTAGAATATTTAGCAATTCCCAATAATTATGGACAAATGCATATCATTTAAATAGATATACTGCTAATTAAGTAAATAATTTGGTAGCTGTGTATCCTTTTTAAAGGCAAAGTAAAGACAGTCCTTCCTCTCAAGGAGCCTTTAAGCTAGTGAGAGACTGACAGACTAGTAATTAAAGTATGTAATATGTTATGATGGAATTAGCATAGGGACTTATTAGGAGGAAAAGTTGTTCAAAGTATAGATGATCAGCCCAGTTACTTGAAACTGTATTTAATGGTGAATTTAGCCATGACTGTGACTTAAAAAATTCTTATCTCAGGGCCAGCAGGTGGCGTAGTGGTTAAGGGCACTGGACTCTCACATCGCCATATGCAGTTCAAGTCCTGGGCCTGGTGGCTTGCTTTCTCACTTTTTCTCAGTCTCTCTCTCTCTCATTCTTGCTCTCACTCTGCCCCTCTCTGGTCAAATTAAAAATAAATAAGTAAATAAAGTTGAAAACAATAATTCTTTTTTTTTTAAAAAATTCTTTTTTTAAAAAAAGAACTAGTGGGAAAAATTCTTATTTCATACATTAAAAACTAATTTGTATGATGAAAAAAAAGTACATCATACAACAGTTTGAGTGTGTAGCATGCTTCTATTTCCCAGGGGAAAATATGTTTTTCTTTTCACATGTATTGCTATCTAGATACTATATCCCAATAAAATCCATATAGTTTCCAAGTATGAGTTAGTAAAGTATGTATGTAAAGTACATGCTGTTTTGTTTTGTTTTCTTTTGGAGAGGTTTTTGCCACAGGGCGTGTGCACTCACCAGACAGAGAGAGACAGAGAGACAGAAAGCGAGAAATTACCCCCCAGGGGGATGGCCATGCTGCAATCCCTTCTCCATTCTCCTCTCGGGATCCTGGGCATGCACGCACATGCGCTTGGCATGAGTTTAAGCCACCTGGTCTGGGACTGGAACCGCAGTCAACTACATGAGAGTTCAGCGACATAGCCATTATGCCTTCTGCTGGTCCCAACAAAGTATATGTTGAAGCAATGTTGGAAGCTAAACTGACAGAAAGCTCTATCTTGGTAACCACATTTGTATTATTAGTAACTATCCACTCTAATTGCTAAAATGTGTTACCTGCAGTTCAGTTTAACAATACTCTGTTGTGTATAAAAGATGTCTGCAGGGACACACAAGAAAGGGAAGCCTCTGGGGGGGAGTGGCAAGAATGAGGTATAGAATCATTTGGTGCCCTTAGGGGACCAGCAGGTGGCGTGGTGGTTAAGGTGCTGGACACTCCTACAGGGCCTGGACTTGGTGGCTTGCTTTCTCGCTTCTCCCCCTCCCCTCTGTCTCTCTGGTCAAATTAAAATAAATCAATGAATAAAATTAATGATTGTATTTTTTTTTTAAAGAATCATTTGGTGTCCTTATAAAATGTTTATTTTAAATCATGGGCATGTATTACTTTCATAATTTATACAAGAGTTTCTTTAGGACAAAGGGAAATTACTAAATGAGTACTGAGGGCCTTCTATA